ATGGAGGGAAAGGAGGCGGGGATATGCAAACGAGAGCCGCGGGGCATGCTGGGGAGGGTGGTTTGGTGCAGCCCTCCAGCGCTGGAGGAGCCCGGGGGAGGGGGCGGCATCCCCCGGCCATAACCCCGCGGGCACGGCCTGGGGGGCCCGGGCGTCCCCCCCGGGTAGGGCCCGGAGGCCTCAGGTTCCCTTCTGAGCCCCGGCAGGGCCTGGGGGCGCACCACGGCGCGGTTCCGTGCTCCCCGGGCCTCCCCCAGCTGAGCATCCCTTGCCTCGGAGGTTGCTCCCTCCTGCCTTGGCTGCGGCAGAGCTGGGGGGGTGTGGGTGTGTGTGTCTGTAAATATCCCCTCTTTGCCCCCCAAATTAAACAGCCGCCCCCGGCCTCTGCTACAACCATGGATGTGGTGCATGAGAGGGGGGGAGGGCACAGAGTTGAGAGGAGCATCCCTGGCTCGCCCCAGCTCTCGCCGGCAATGAAGAGGCCCAGGGCGTGAAGGAATTGTCCTTTATTTGGGAAGTTCACAGTCGGTTTGGGGCGGGAGGACACTGCTACAACCCCCCCTGCCATGATCAGAGCTGGGACTGGGGCAACGGATGGCCCTGGGCTGGAGAGAGCTGCAGGGCAAAGGGGGACCCCAAGAGCTTGGACCTACAAGAGACAGCCTGGAGAGGAGGCCTCCAGCACAACCCTCCCACCGCGGGTTTCTTTGGCTTTCTTTGGACATTGCACGCTCCCAGGAAGCGCCGAGGAGGGGAGCGGGTGCCTGCGGGAGGGCTGAGGCGCCAGCAGTCCCCCCAAGACACGGGAGAATCTCGCTGGATGTGCCCTGTGGTACATCTGCACTGCTTCCCTTCCCAGAGCCGGGTCCAGCCGTAGAAACCGCCATGCCCATTCCTACCCACGCAGCTTCCTTCCTTCCAGGGGCCTCCCCCTGCCCATCCCACCGTGTTGGCAGGACCAGGATGCCTGCTGGGGGTCACCAGGCTGGGGACAGCGACGGTGTACCAGTGTGCAGGAGCTCCCGCTTCCCCCCGACACGCTTGGGGCTGGGGGCTGAGCCCCTCTGATTGCTGGGAGGGTGCTCGGGGGTCTCTGCTCTGCCTGTGGCTCCATCCCTGCAGCTGCAACCACATCTGCGCCGGGAGGGATATGGGGGGACAGCGGGAGGGGGATCCGGCACCTCCAGCGGAGAAAGCATCTGTGTTTCTGCAACTGCGAGTCCGTGGGGAGGGGTCAGCGAGCCCCAGGGAAGCCCCTTGGCAGGAGAGAGGCACGTTCCGGTGCAGGTCCTGTGCCACGGGGCCGCCCCGTCACCATTCTTAGTTCCTTGCCGCGATGACCACGGACAAGGCCACACCGCCGAGCGCGATGGCTGTTGCCCCGAAGAGCCACTTCCATGGGATGGACTGAGGAGGAGAGAGCAGCGAGGTGATGGGATGCACGGGGTGTGCCACGAGCTGTGTGGCCCTGCCTGTGCTGGCACAGGGCCACGGGGCAGCATCGAGCTCCCAACACTCAGCCGAGATAACGCAGCCCAAAAAGGCAAGTGCTGCGTCGGCTCTGGCCGGCACGTCCGCAGGGACAGCGTGTGCCGCCGACAGCCCAGCTGACCGTGCTTTCCACCGGCGCAGCCAGCGGGCTCCCGAGTGCAGCAGCTGGGAGCAAAGTCCAGACCCTCCAGCTGGCATCGCCGGGATCCAGCGGACAGAGCCAGGAGCGCAGCCGCAGCTCTCGGTGTTTTCCTGGCAAAACTGCTGGAGCGTGAGCCCCCAGCTCCCACCCGTGGGTCACATCAGCATCCCCCCCCTGCTCAGGAGCACAATTGTGTCGACCCCCAGTGACCTGAGGGACACTAACACCCCCCCTGTGCCCAGCCCAGCGCTCCCCACCCCTTAGGGTGACCCTCACCCGCTCTGCCATCCCCCCCAGAAAGGTCAGCCCCTGCCCTTACCCAGGGCAGTTTGTCTTTGCATTTCCCCGGCGTGCCGGCGGCGCTGGGATTCCCGAGCATCTTCCTGTACATCTCCGTCTCCACGTTCTTCTGGTCCGCGTGCTTCTTCACCAGCTTGGAGAGCTCAGCGTGGATGGTCTGGGGAGGAGAGAGTGGCGCTGTGGTTATCAGCCCTGCACCATCCCTGCGGTGCAGGGGAGGGGACAGGCACCGCAGTGCCACCGTCGCCACATCTGATCACCCCAGGGCCCTGCAAGAGCTTTGTGGAACAGCTCAGAAGCAGCTGGGTGGGGGCTGATGCCCCCACCCCTGCACTCCTCCCCTGCACTGAGGGGCTGCACCAGGCTGGCATCGGACACCCAGGCTGGGTGCCCCACAGGTCTGGGTGCCCCCCTGTCCTTTTTGGCCACCCACACTGTTCCCAGCCTGGCAGTGGGGAGCAGAGCCCAGGGCTGATGCCAGACATTGGGAAAAGGATTTTATCCTTTAACCAAGAAGGAAAAGTGTCTGCCTTGGGGACAGACGTGCCCGAGCTCTCCCACTTTTCTGTCTGGAAGCAGCCTGGGAAAGAGGGCTTAAACTCAGCCCAGTCTAAAGCAGGATTGCAGCGAGACCCAGCAGCATGTCGGTACCTGCCCGGCTGTGCCAAGCGGCAGTGACGGCTGGGGCTAAGCGACCGCCGCAGGAGAAAGCTCTGCATCCCGCACAGAGCTCGCGGGCTCCCAAGAAAGCAGCACAAAGCACAGTGGAGCCGAGCACGCACCGCCAGCCGTTCCCTGAGCTGGTGGTGGCAGGGAGGACTGTGCAGTGGCCACGGTGGCGCAGCCGCCCAGTGCGGTGGCCATGCTGTGCCCTCTGCTGGGGATGCCACGCTCCGGGTGGCTCCAACAGCTCTCTGAAACACTGGCACTGGTGACCCACACTGGCTCTGGTGTCCCATGCTGGCACCAGCGACCCATATCAGCAACCCACACCAGTAGCAGTGATCCATGCTGGCTTTGGCGACCCACATCAGCTCTGGTGACCCATGCTGGCAACGCGCACCAGCTCCAGTGACACATGCCAGGTCTGGTGACCCACACTGGTAACCCATGCTGGCACCGGAGACCCACGTAGGCTCTGGTGACCCACACTGGTGACCCACATCGGCACTGGTGAGCCCTGCTGACAACCCATGCCAGTTCCAGTGATCCACACTGTCACCAGAGACCCATGCCAGCACCAGTGACCCACACTGGTGATGCATGCCAGCTCTGGTGACCCACACTAGCACCAGAGACGTACAGTGGCTTCGGTGACCCATGCCAGCACCAGCAACCTGCACCGGTGACCCACATCAGCTCTGGTGGCCCACACCAGCAGTAGAGACCCACACAAGCTCCAGTGACCCACATTAGCACCAGAGACCCACGCCACCTCGCCCAGAGACCAGCCAGGGCTTCACCAGACCACAGCACACTCAGCACCGCTCCCTTGAACATGAGACTCGGGATGTCTGCGGGGTGCAGAGCACCTGCAGGCACCCCCGAGGGCTGGCACATCCATGTAGGACAAACACTGGCATCCCCCCGGCTCCCCAAAGGTGTGTTTCCAAGGGGTCAGGAGAAGGGAGCCCAGCAGCTCACGCTCTGTAACAGCTGAAAGGTGCCAAGAGCCCCAGAGAAGCAGGTTTCCTCATCTGAGGCAGCTGGAGCTGAGCATTTCTCGAGTCTGTTTTCACCACCGGCAGCTGTAGCCCGTGACTCACCGATGCGTGTTTAACGCTGCCGTCTGGAGCGGCACGGCCACTTCCCCGGGAGTCCCGGCCGCCAGCCGGAGAGGCCAGTAATTTGCTGTACTTGTGGTTTCACTGGTAACGTCACTGCCGGGCATTTTGATTTTTCACCCCTCTCCAATTAAAAGCTTCGTGTGAATGGGCTGGTGAGCAGCAGCCCCGCCAACAGTGACGTGGGGGAGATGCATAGGGGGAAGGTCGCTTGTGCTCTCGCTCACCACTGCTGCCCACCCGAACCTTGCTGGGAAGCAAAGGGTTTGAGACCCTGCTCACCCTTCCCTGGGGGTGATCTCAGACCACGAACTCTGTGGGTGCTGCAGGACCACCAAGCGCCCGCTTTCACAGTGGCCCATCCTACCCAGGACCTTCAGGCACCAGATCACAATGGTCCAGTGAAGCTTCCAGAAAAGAAGCAAATAAAACAACAGACCCAGTCGAGGACCAAACCTCCCACCTCAACCCCAGCTCGCTCCTGCTGCAGCCATTTCCTCATACTAGTTTTTAATTTTTCTTGAGGCTCTGCTCCTGCAGCTGATCATTAACTGACAGGAAATTCCTGACACAGAGCTCGCCCTGGCCAGGGCGCTGGACTGAGGTCTGGGCTGCTCCTGCCGCCCAGTGAATCACGCTCCGAGCTGCTGAGCGAGTCGCCAGGGACTCGGCTCTGCTCCACTTCCTGTAGCCACAGCACGAGCCGCTGGAGCCACCCGGGGAAGCTGGAGTGGCCAGGACAGTACATACAGGGATAGGCTGGCAGGGAGTCCCGTCACCGCCAGGACCAAAGGGCAAAGAGAGAGTCTCGCAACGTGGAGATAAGGGACCAGCCAGCCCAGCCACTCTCGGGCGTTGCACCACAGGGTGCATCACCCCATAGCTGCCCAGGCCCTGGGGGCTGTTTCTAGCCTCCCTTCACAGAGGAAGCTGGTAACAGCTACAGGTGGCTTCATTCTTCCGCAGGGGACAGGGAGGTCTGCAGGGACATGGGAAGAGGAGAGCGTCCTGCACTCAGACCGGCAGGATGGCCAGTGGCACGCACAGCAGCCTACCTTGTTTGAAGGCTCCAGCTTCAACGCTGCCTTTAAGATGGGGATGGCCTCTCTGTATTCGCCCTGCTGAGCCAGGACCTGGAGGGCAAGATACAGTTTGAGCAGGACCTCTCCTCAGGTCTGTCCCTTGGTCCTGCCTTCCGTCACGCCGCGGAGAAGGGACGGCAGCGCCTGCCACACGCCCAGCCTCACCTTGCCCTTTCGGAAGAGAGCCTTGATGTTCCCTGGCTGGTGCTCCAGGACGAGGTTACAGGACTTCAGGGCTGCCTCGTAATGGTCCAATTTAAGCTGAGAGGCTGCCAGGTTGTTGAGACATTTCACCTTCACATCCAGCAGTTCAGTCTCCTCATCCGGACTGAAGTCAACTGCAAAGACCCCAAACCCAAGTTACAGCAGGAAGGGAGCCCTGGCAGCCCTCACCCAGGGTGGCAGCAGGTACCTTTTGAGCTGGAGCCGATGATCTTGAGGGCAATGTCATAGGAATTGATGGCCAGCACGTAATCTGCCTGCTGGTAGAAGAAGTTGCCACGCTCCCGCTTGCGGTTGGCCAGCTCTATCTTCTCCTTCCCGCTGAGCAGCTCCAAGTCCGGCGCGTCCCGAGCCGCCAGCAGCTCCACCTCCAGCGTGAGGGCTGCGTTGGGTGGGACATCGGGGCTCCTGCACAGAGAAGGGCAGAAAGCTGTGGCACCGCTGCCACCTCTGCCAGTCCCACCAGCCACGGGGCCATGTAGATTCAGCACCAGAAATCAGAGCCACGGAAGCTCCCTAGGACAGGGCACGATGTAGATCATTCCCCCCGAGACAGGACACGCTGCTATTCCCTGCATGTAGCGAGCGAGCTGGGTCTCCCTGTCTGTGGAAGCTGTGGCTTGCTGGCTGGGCTTTCACCGGGAGGGCACTGACAGCTTTCACAGCCTGTTTGGGGCCATCCCGAGGCCTCCCCGCTCACCTGCCCTGAGCACCATAGCAGTACTTTGCATCTGACATGATCAAAGCTGTCTCCCCCATTTCCAGGAGCTGCACACACAAGTCCAGAGCCTACAAGAAACAACACCACATGGAGAGAGCATGAGCAAAGGCAGAGGGGTCACTTCCAACCCGCAAACAGGGACGTCACTGTCCCCAAACCCTCCCCACGCCCCCTAAGGCAAGGTCTTGCTCCGCAGGGCAAAAATAAGGCAGCGATAAAGCCGGGCAAGATTTCCCCCAGCCCTGACCTGCAAGACATCGCAGTCCCCCAGCGTGAAGGTGAGGGCAGGGTTCTCCTCCACCACACTGCCATCCTCCAGCGTGGCCTTCAGGCGGATGGTCACGTCCTGACCCTTGTGGGGACGCGTGTCCACCCCCTGGCCCGGCACCAGCGTCTTCTTCTTGAGCAAGCCACTCCCTGGGCAAGGAGAAGCCAGAGGCACGTCAGCCCGGAGCAGGGAGGGAAAAGCTTGGCTCCCACCGCCCTGCTCCAACTCCTGGCCGGCCCTGACGGCGCGGGGTGTGCCGGCCAAGCCACGGGGAAGCCCGTGAGACGCCCAGGCCCAGCGCCCTCCTGCCCGGGCTCTCACCCAAAACATCAAGCCACTCCTGGGGGTCCTCAGCCGCTTCCCCCCCGCCCTGCTCCGGAGCCTGGGTGTCCTCCCGCGGCGGGGCCGGCGGCCTGCCCACATCCTCCAGCGGTGGCAGCTCGCTCAGGTCCTCTTCTTCCTCCTCCTCCTCCTC